AGGAGATCCTTGCATACTGGTTATATCCTGTCAGCCAGCAGTACTCTTACCAAAACCTGACAATGGCAAGAAGAAAGGAGAGGGGAAAGAGTGGGGAGGTAAAAATAAGCCAGAAGACCAGTATTCCTGATGGACATAGACGCAGAAGTCCTCAACAAAATAAGAGAATCAAATTTGACAATGCAACAGAACAATCCCTACAACAAAGAGGAACATAGTGACACATCCCCGTAAGGCAGAAGCAGGAAGAGCAAAGTTTGAAAGCAGCCCTAGCTACATAGTGAGCTCCAAACTGGCGGTGGTGGCGCACGCCTTTAATCCCAGCACTCAGGAGGCAGAAGCAGGCAGATCTCGAAGTTCCAGACTGTCTGGTCTACAGAAACGAGTTCCAGGACAGCCAGGGCTACACAGAAAACCCTGTCTTGAAAAACAAAAACAAGCCGGGCGGTGGTGGCGCACACCTTTAATCCCAGCACTTGGGAGGCAGAGGCAGGCAGATCTCTGTGAGTTTGAGACCAGCCTGGTCTACAGAGCTAGTTCCAGGACAGGCTCCAAAGCTACAGAGAAACCCTGTCTCAAAAATCAAAAAAAAAAAAAAAAAAGACCTGAAAAAATTCGGTATAGAGGATCAGAACTCAACATACCAATGGCTTTGTAGAATAAATAAATCCATAGCCAACATCATACATAACTGGGGAGAAATGGAGTATTGTCTCTAAGACAACGCTGTCTCTCACAGATCTCACTCAATACAGTGTTAGACGTTTTGACCAGAGCTATTCAGCAAGAGAAAGAAAGAAACGGCATGCAGATAGGAAAGAGGTAAATTGTTCATTTGCAGATGAATAGATTAATGTCTCTATTCATTGAAAAATACAAGATCCCTGAAAGAGGATGAGAAATGAGGAATTCAGTCAGCTAGGAATTCCTGCTAGCTATATATATATATATATATTAGAAAATCAGTGCTTTTCTATGTATCAATAATAAATTTGCTGAGAAAGAAATTATGAAATCAATTTTATTCACAATAAACCACACAAACAAACAAAACTCCAGGGATAAATTTAGCTAAGGAAGTAGACTTTTACAAGGAGAACTGCAAAACTGGTGAAAGAAACTGAAGAAACCATTAGAAGATTCCCTTAGAATCAGGGATTTACAGAATTAGTGTTCTTAAATTACACGTTATACAAAGTGACGTACAGAGTCAACGGAATTCCTGTCAGAATATCAGTGGCATTCTTCACAGACCCCAAAATTCATATGGAAGCAGAAAGTACCCCACTTAGCCAAAGCAATCTTGAGCAAAAACTTGGAAGCATCCTAATCACTTAACTCCAAGACAATTTTACTGAGCCACAGTCACTAAAACAGAATGGCGTGGACATTTAAACACCTAGACCAACAGGACAGAATTCCACGCCAGACCCGGACACACAAGTTCTGTCCATTTGTTCTCATATTTTATTGGTGCTGGAGACCCTGGATATCCTCACGCAGAAGACTGAAACTCGACCCAGGTTCCTCACTCTGTATTAACAGCTCATCAGGATGTACCAAACGCTTTATCTGAACTCTGAAAACGTGAAATGAATGAGAATATGGAAGAAACAACTGGCACAGGCAAGGCTTTTTCTCAGTAGGACTCCAAAGCACAGGAAATCGAGCTAAGCCTGACAAACTTCAATGGCTCTGCCTGGCAGTGAGCAGAGCAGCAGCTGCCCACAGCCAGGGATGCGGCTTAGTGCTGGAGGGCTTGTCAGAGGAGCAGCTGAAGTCTGAGGTGTCGGCCACCAGGAGGAGCAGCGCTGATGGGTGAATCTTGGATAGGCACGGCCGAGACCACAGACTCTGTGCCCTCACATGTTTGCCGCTCTGCCGCTGCCATCTTTCTCTGCTATCTGGCATTGTTAGTAGCCAGGCACACCTTGGCCCTGCCCCTTGGGAACCTGGCACCCCTCTGCTATGGCAAGCAGGTCCCTGACTGTGACAGGTGCAAAGATCATTTTAAGAGACAAGCTCCGCCCACTCCCGATCTCTCCACCGCCCCCAGGCAAGCAGGTCTCTCCCTCTCTCCCCTCCGGTTCTTGTTTCTCTGTCTCTTTTCATTCTCTCTTCCCTTCCCACTCCCTTTATCTCAAATAAACCCCACACCCAAACTGTCAGCATGGCGTATTCTGTCACCTGCTGTGGCCCCCACCCGCAGTGGGACCTGCACCCTAAAGATCTAAAGTATAACTGATTCTTTTTCATATATAAAAGTTGAGATTTGTGATTCCTTTAAGATTCCTTATAAGATTGCATTTCATGATAGGTAATAAATTGATTGGTCCTTTCTTTGTAACTGCCAGTAAACGCGTATCTTGCTTGCTTACACACTGCTAAATTATAACAAGTTGCTTGGGTCTCAATGTATGTCAATTCAAAGGGTTTCCAGTGAGGTGCCTACATGCTCTTGTTTATAATACCAAGCTATATGAACAGTCTAAATGCTAACCACAGTTAAGTGAATAATAAATAGGATATACATACACGATGGCATTTTATTTGGAAGGACAGCAAACTGCCGGGGCAGTGGTGGTAAATGCCTTTAATCTCAGCACTCGGGAGGCAAAGAGGCAGGTGGATCTCTGGGAGTTTGAAGCCAGCCTGGTCTACAAAGCGAGTTCCAGTACAGCCAGGACTGTTACACAGAGAAACAAAACAACAACAACAAACAACACCACCCCCAAAGAACCCAAAACAAAAGCAAAAACAAACAAACAAACAAACAAAAAAACACCAAGAAAACTGAAATCTCGCCATTTGCAGCAAAAAAGGATGGTCCAGGTGGACTGAATAAAGCACAATAAACCAGGTGCACAAAGATAAGCGTGAAATGTTATCTTTCCTACGATGAAACTGAAAAGGCCACCCTGGAAGTATGTGGATGATTACAGGAGCCATAAAAACGGCAGAGGAAGGCGAGGATGAGGACAGGTGGGGCATTGAAGACAACTGTCCGGTTTATAGCTTGGTTTCTGTTGCTGTGGCCAAAAACAACACCAGGAAGGAAAGGGTTTGCTTCGGCTTGCAGTTTGCAGGCTCTTTGTCACTGAGGAAAGTCGAGGCAGGAGCAGAAGCAGAAACCACGGTGGAGCTGGTTTAACAACTCACTCGGGGTCTTATCCAGCCTAGGCCCACCTGCCGGGGGCAGCACCACCCTACAGCCGTAAGTAATACCCACACAGACAGGCGCACAAGTGATTCTAATGGTGGCAATTCCTCAACAGACGTTCCTTCTTCCCAAGTGACTACGGTTCGTGTGAAATTGGCAGCACCGACGCTAACGATGGCAGCAGTGAGTGCATATTTAATGCAAAGTTAGCATTTTCCCATCACGTGGCCATCTTATTTATTTATTTAATTTCAAGTGTAGTGGTGTTGGAACTGAGTTACAGACATGTGTGAGCTGCCATGTGGTGCTGGGAATTGAACTCGTGTCCTCTGGAAGGGCATCTTACAACATAGCAGAGCTGACTGGGATGCTTTTAGTGCCCCCCCTCCCCCTGAAAGGCAAAGTAACACTTCACAATGGGAACAACTCAATCCTGAGTTGTATTTCTGTCTCCCTATTGTATGACAAGGTGCGTGGGAAGGGGGGGTCATTTGCCCGAGTGTCAGTTTTCCTATCAGGACTTTTATTAGTCCCCTGCTATCTTCTAACCCCACTCTCCCCGTTAAGGACAGGTTGTCCGCTGCCCCTTTCAGCTGGCTCTACCTTCCCCAGTTCTCACAGCTGCCAGAACTAAGATCATCATTCAGTGGGTATGGGGTTCCCAGGAGAAGGATTTCCTGGGTTGGATGCCTTGGACTAGGTAGGTGCTTAGATCCTGAATGAGAAGCCTGACTGGGATGAAGTCAGGTTCAGGGTGAAACAAAAACAAAAACAAAAAAAAAAAAAAAAAAAAAAATTAGTAAATTTCCCTTCAATGCCAAATACATTCAGCCTTCAAAATTCTGAGATGGACTTTCCTTTTTCTACACTAGAATAAGAGTGAGTTTTATTTCTTAAAATGTCTATAAACTGGCCAAATAAAACCAAGAAATCATATTTTTAAGACTTGTCCCAACCCTTTCTGATTCCAAGGCCCTGCAAGCAGGAAGACGTGAGAAAGGTCTAGGCAGATCACAGGTGGTTCTCCTTTTAATTACTCTTGGCCGAGGTTGCTCGGCAGTAGGGTCTCTATGAACCAGGGACCACCATGAAAGTCCGCTCAGCACAGTGGTACCTGGAGAATCTTGGGGGCAGCCAGGACTCCAAGGCTGGCCTCAGGCTCCTGTGGTTATTTCTTAAGGAAACAGGATCACCCGCCCCCAACACCCTAATGCTTGCAGCAGAACAGTGGATACAGCGAAGTCCCCCACGCATCCCCATACTGTCCCCGACTCCCAACCCTCGACCCCTGACCCCATACTGAGCTTGCCGTCTAGTCACTGAGACGCGGCAGACAGTACATTGCAGGCCTAGCTGCCACTCTCTGGTTCTAGTTACTACTTTTGGTTTTTCTAGCCGTTTTGAAGTCTTTCCCAGCCCTTCATGCTTGAAACATCTGACTTGGGAATGGAGGAGACGCATCGTATGAACTGGAAAAGGGCAGTTTCTCAAGAAAAGAATAGGCCTGAGTAAGCCCAAGAACCTTCTGTGGTCCTATACAGCTGAGCATGCTTCTGGTACTGGCGGCGAAAGCCAAACCAAATGTCTTCCAGAAAGGACCCTAAAGAAAGCCCTTACCGTCCACATGTGCTCATCGGCGGTATGTTAGCGTGAATGGAATACCAAGTTCTGTTCCTAAGCACCCATTTTTGGCGGCTCACAAATGCCTGGAATTCCAGCTTTCCAGCATCCTGGGAGCTAAAACCTCTAGGCTCTACAGACACCTGCACCAATGAACGATGTACACACACTTTAAAATGACTTTTTTTTTTTTTAATAAGAAAGAAAGAGTTTGGCTCACAGTTTCATCCGTGGTCGATCATCTCCTTGCTTTCAGTTGGTAGAGGAAGAGGCAGCTAGCTGGTCAGGTGTTCGGTGCTCTGAGGGCCAAGGGTTAGAGGAGGAGCCAGGGTCCCAACTCCCTTCCAGATAGGACCCGCCTTTTAAAGGTTGCACGGGCTCCCAACAGTGCCATAGGCTGGTGCCCACGCTTGACACACCCCGTGAGGCATTTAAGATCCAAACTAAAACACCTACAAGGGAAAGCCTTCGGAGGCTTTGAGACCAAGCTGAGGGCAGATGACTCAGCTAAGGTAGCTCCTTGAATTCTCCAACACTTCCTCCTGGAAGTAACCCAGCGCTCTTCGCCAGAGAACTTCAGCAGGGTCACCTTTGCACTCCAGTGTTTCCAAACGCCAGCTTGGAAACGGAACGGTTTGGGCTGGCGCGGCCCACGGCAACCACGTGTGTGTTTTTTATCAGGCATCTTTGCCCCGCCTTAAGAGGCTAGGCATAAACTCCACTAGAGACACTAGAGAATGTAACCGCAACGCAGACATCAGAAACCCAGTAACAGGCCAGACTGACGCTTTTAACTTTCTGTTTATTTGGGGTGGGAGTGGGGGTGGGAAACAGGGAGCATGTGGAAGTCTGTGGGGTTTCTCTGTCCTCCAGAGATCAAACCGAGGTCAAGCTTGGTGACAATTATCATTTCCCCACTGAACCACCCTGCTGGCCCCAAGCTGACACTTTAGAGGACAGAATCTCAAGTAGTTGGCCTCCTCTGGTGTGGAGGTCTTCCACGGGATAGTGTTGGTCCAACTCTTTGCTCTTTTGGCCCAGCCCACCTTCGGCCCCACCCACCTTTCACCGTTTCCTGAGCAGAGGGTCGAAGGCCAGGGAACCCCTAGACTTCTTATGGCCTTCTCACGTATTGTTTTTCTTCCAGCCCCTTACATTTCTGCTCTGAAGACAGGAAATGCAACAGAACGCTCTAGCCGATTCCAGAGTGGAGGGGAGGAGAGGAGGCAACATCTGAATTAAGCAGCCGCTGATTGATTAAGCAGCCCGTGATAAGCGGTGCAGCAAGCGGGGAGTTCACGAAGCCTTTTTTTTTTTTTTTAATTTAGAAACTGTGACAGCTGGGCCTCCCTGGAGTTATGTGAGGATGAGACAACCCAACCTGGGTACCCAGCTCACTGCCTGTTTTACACATTGCCTGACGTATGTAAATCCTGTGTGTCTGGGTGGTGGTGGGAACTGAACCTAGGGCTTCATCTGCCATTTTAATCAAGTACTGTTGGCTGGACCACAGTTAACTTTTATATGTTAACTTTCATGATTATTTTCCAGGTCTCACTAACTTGCTTGGGTCTGTCTTTGTAAAAGAGGGTTTGTCTGAGCCAGGCCTTTCCATGAGGGATTAAGGAATAATAATGAAGAGTTCACACACACACACACACACACGAACACCCCCCCTTTGACTCACCTGTTTAACATGTCCAATTAAAATGAAACACCTCATCCTAACATGGGTTCCCCCTTTACCTTCACAGACTGCCTTTTGCCAGTGTGCCACGTGTGTCTCCTCTCTATTCAGAGGCAGGTCCTTTGTCTCTCCAGGACAAACATCCCCCCCCCCTTTCCCTAGTCCCCGTCCCCTTCTCCCTCATCATCTGTCTCCTTAAAAATCACACCTGCAGGGTCATTTGCTGCCGGTTTCTGCCTGAGCCAAAAAGCAGGCATTTTCCATTTTAACTTTTCTTCCCTGCTTAATAAAGGATCTCTCTGTGAAAATGGGTGTTTGGGTGTGGTTTGTACCTAATCCAGAAGGAAGAGCCTGCAGTGCAGGGTCTCCTTCGGATGCGAAGGGAGGTATTATCTGGATCCCCTGGGAAATAGTGCCCAGAGCCTGGATTTGTGGCACCCAGACTCTTGCTGGGAATGAAACCAGACAAAACTTAAAAGATCTTGTCCTCATCTCTTCCACATCTACAAGAAGAAAGCCTGGGACGCGGTTTTCTGGTTTTATTTTAACTGGGGTGAAACAATACAACAAAGTGCACGGATTTTAGGTGCTCTACGAGTTTTAATGACGATCAGTTTGTCATCCAGATCAAAACAAAGGGCGTCCCTAGTGCAGGAGGCTATTCCCCTCTTCCCGCCACACCCAGAGGTGACTGCTGACTCTTACCACACTTTGTCTTATTTGCTTCTTTTTCTTTTCTCATTTCCTTTATTTTCTCTTCTTTCCCATCTTCCTTCCTTTCCTTCTCCCTCCCTGGTCTTGAACCCTGTATAAAAGTTACTCATGCCTGGCTTTTGTTAAACGTCTAGCCTATGAAATTTCCCTTTGTGGTCACGTGGACCCACTGTTGATCCCTCTAAGTTTTTCCTATGAATATAACACAACACATCCATGCATTCTGCTGTGCAAACAGAGCTAGGGCTGTTCCGAATAAGACAGCTATGATTATCCCAATAAAGTATTTTGGGAGAAGTTTCTGCCAGGTACAAATACCCACATGTGGCATTGCTGGGTGAGAAAGGCAGGAAATACTTAGCTCCAAGAGTGTGTCGCCCAGGTGTACACACTTGGCCCGCCTGCCCACTAGTTTTTGAACATATCACAAAGCAGCTTCTCCATCGGCGTGTTCCCTATGGTCTTTCGGAAGAAGAGGAGCTCGATGCGCTCAGCAGTGATGAACCTCAAAGACGGGAGCAGGAGGAGCAACTTCCCAAACCTGAACGGGAGAAAGGATGCTGTCAGGCTCAGGGCTAGCTGCTGAGCAAAGCGGTCCGGGAGGAGGGAGGCGTGCCCAGGGCCTTCCAGGGGCATTTCAAGGAAAGACCCCTGTGTTAGACGGCTCACTTCCATCTTCCCTCTGGTAGGAGCATGAAAACAGGGCCTCGAGAATATTGTCCATTATGTGTCAAGACTATAGAATGAGAAGTTACTTCTTTGCACGTGTATGTGGTATGTGTGTGTGTGAATACACTCTCGTTGAGAGTATTTGTGTGTGTGTGTGTGCTTATCTGTTCATGTGGAAGTTGAGGTCAAACATCTTCCTGGCTCACTCCACTTTGTTTTACCGAGGCAGGGTCCCTTGCTGAACTGGACGCTGACCCATTCTGGCTAGTCCAGCTAGCTAACTTGCCCCAGGGAGCCACTACGTCAGCCTCCCAGTTCTGGGATTGCAAGCACTGCCAGGTCTGCTGGCCTTTGTGCCAGGTCCTGGATTTGAGCTCCAGTCCGGTCTCCATGTTGTGCAGCCCATCTTCCAGCCTGTGAGCCATTCCTGATAGCGTTTATAGATTTATTCATTGATCATATGCACATTGTAAGTTATATTAGTTTTATGTATAAGAATATGAATTCCTGGGCTGGAGAGATGGCTCAGTGGTTAAGAGCATTGCCTGCTCTTCCAAAGGTCCTGAGTTCAATTCCCAGCAACCACATGGTGGCTCACAACCATCTGGAATGAGGTCTGGTGCCCTCTTCTGGCCTGCAGACATACACACAGACAGAATATTGTATACATAATAAATATTTAAAAAAAAGAATATGAATTTCTGTCTGTGAAACACCTATGATGATAGTAACTACTACGGAAACTATCTGGAGTCAAGGGAGAAAAAAAAAATCCAACCTAGCTTCAAGTAAGAACCATTTGTTAAAACAGAGGTCCCAGTGCAAAAAACAAAACAACAAAAAACAAAGAACAAAAAAAAATCAGAACCAGACGTCTGTGGGAGGAAGTCATACAGCTGGGACCACCAAGATGCTGTGCTCCACCGAGACCTCTGCTTTCACTGGTCTAGGGAGGAGGAGAGGAACTGTGAAGTCTAAGAGTCACTGCAAACTGTGGGTATGGACCTACCTGGTAGACAGTGATAGGTGATAGCCTCACAAATGGACTTTTAAAATTAAAATAGACACCAAAATGGAGACTGAGGATATTATAACTCATTAGATAGAATTTTTTTTTGTGGTTTTGTTTATTTTTTTAGACAGGGTTTCTCTGTATAGTCCTGGCTGTCTTGAAACTCATTCTATAGACCAGGCTGGTCTTGAACTCATAGAGATCCACTGCCTCTGCCTCCTCAGGGCTGGGATTAAAGGCAGGCGCCACCACTGTCATCTGGCCATGGGCTCCAGTCCCAGTAGCTTGTAGCCTATGTGTGATTGAACATACCTGCCATCCTCCTAGTGCTTTGGAAGGGGAGGCAGGAAGATCAGGAGCTGAAGCTTACCCCAGCAGCATGGCGAGTTCAGGGCTAGCTAGGACTATATGAAACTTAGTCTTAAAGCAGTGTGTCAGAGTGGATCATACAAAGCAAGTGTGGGTTTTAGTGTCTCTGTGTAGGCTGTGCTAAGATACATTGACCCAGAGACTGGAGACCCTGCAGTGATACTTAGTTCTGCCTGGAGCAATTAAAGGGCAAAAGTAATCCCAAGAGTCTGCATGTGCAGAGGCCAGAGATCATCTTCTTCAATCACTCCCCACCTTATCTATATTTTATGTGTGTATGTGTGCACATGCCTGTGAGTACACACACACACACACACACACACACACATACAATGTATCCACATTCGTGTGTTGGAGTATATACCCACAGAGGCCAGGAGAAGACACTGAGCATCCTGTACATCCCTGCTTTCTTCCTTTGAGATGAGGTTTCTTTCTGAACCAAAACCTTGTTATTTAGGCTGCCTGGACAGAGAGCTCCTGGGATCTGACTGTTTCTGCTGCCCAACACTGGTTTTTATTTATTTAGCCTGCTTTACCCAGCATTTTCAGCATTTTCACATGGGTACTGGGGATTTGAACCCATGTCCTCATGCTTGCACAGCAAATGCTCTTATCCACTGAGCCATCTCCCTAGCCCTTCCTCCATGTGTCTTGAGACATGGTCTCTCAACTGAACCTGGAGCTCCTCAGTTCAGCTAGGCTGGCCGGCCAGTGAGCTCCATAGATCCACCCGTCTCCACCCAATTCAGTGCTGGGCTGACAGACACATGCCACCACGCCCGGCTTTTGTGTGGGTTCTGGGGATGCATACTCAGGTCCTTAAGTTTGCTTGGCAGATACTTGAGTAGTT